AAAAAAAAAAATGTAATGAGCATCGAATTTCTCCTCATAACCAAGTGTAGCCTCAGCAAAAGCCCAAATGTTCGAGGACCCACTCTTTCGTAAGGTGTCTCATGACTGGAACAGTCGGGTCCCTGGCTGAGTGGGTGCAGCCCCAACGCTTCACCCACAAATGCAGCTCCCCAGCTGGGGCCATAATAAACAGCTGCTCCTGCTAATTCTGTGACATTCCCTGCACCGTGTCCTAGCCGGCGACTTCAGGAGCGAGGTGTCTTTCTCAACATTGATAACAACTTTTAACAATCACCCTGTGCTGAAATAGACACGCTGCGTTCGAGTTGGTGCGCTCGGAGGGCCACTGTGGGAAGCAGGCGTGTCTGCGAGAGGCTGAGACAAGAGGCCTCTCTTCAAGGGAGGTCCCTGATCGAGTTTCTGTTTTTTAAAAATTAAACTGCAATTCACATAAGATGAAATTAGCTATTTTAAAGCATACAATTCAGTGGCATTTTGTACCTTCACAAGGCCGTATTAACCACCACCTCTATCTGTTCCAAAACATTTTTATCACCCCAAAAGAAAACCCCAGACCCATTAAGTGGCTTCTCCCTGTCCTCTCTTCCCTGTCCCTGGGAACCACCAGTTAACTCTCTACCTCTATGGATTTGTCTGTTCTGGACATTTCATTTAAGTGGAATCATACAACATGTGGTCCTTAGTGACCGGCTTCTTAGTGTATCGAGGTTCGCCCACGCTGTAGCGTGAATCAGTACTTTGTTTCTTTTTATGGCCAAATAGCGCTGCCTTGTGCGGATGTCCCACACTTTGTCCATTCATCAGTCAACGGACATCTGGGTTGTCTCACCTTCTGGCTGCTGTGAATGCTGGCGCCGTGAACTGCAGGTCGTTGTTCGGGTCCCTGTTTTCAGTTCTCTGGGGTAGCTACTTGGGAGTCGAATTCCTGGGTAATATGGTAATTGTGGTTTTCTTGAGGACCTGTTTCCCCTGCTTAGCGTGTAGATCGCCCTTCCCTAAGACAGACACCGGTCCACTAACCTAACTTGGAATCATACAGGTGAGGCACGTCTAATTTACAATTCTTTATGCCAGAAAAATCAAGTTAGGCACAAGATACTTGGGAGTCGAATTCCTGGGTAATATGGTAATCGTGGTTTTCTTGAGGACCTGTTTCCCCTGCTTAGCGTGTAGATCGCCCTTCCCTAAGACAGACACCGGTCCACTAACCTAACTTGGAATCACACAGGTGAGGCACGTCTAATTTACAATTCTTTATGCCAGAAAAATCAAGTTAGGCACAAGATGGCTGAACGTTCACTTACAGCAGAGCAGCAGCAGCCCCCGCCTGACCGTGACCGCTGCAGCAGCGCCCCAGCGGCCCTGGGTTTCTGCCAGGAGACCGGGTCCTGGGATTTGTAAGAGTCTGAGTCACTGGGACGGCGCCACAGAGTCCCAGGTGAACATTCTCTCTTCACACACAAGTGAAAACGTGGAGAAAGAGGCTCAGCGAGGATCACTCATGCTGCGAGCAGCAGCACATGGGTGACAATTCTGCTGCGGTGACAGCTGCTGCGCGGCTCATGCCACGGTCTCCCGGCTGCTGCTAGAATGCAGCATCCTGACCTTTCCAGAGTAAGGCTGCAAAGCCACCCGGAGCTTTCTCAACTGAAGTGGCCACTTCCCCTTGACCCCGCTCTCTTCATCAGCAGGTTTTCACACCTGTGAGACTCTGCCCCTTCTTCCCACCAGGACAAGGCCAGCAACTTCCTAGGGCCACCAGGAGGGCGCGCTGAGCTGCGACCGCTGATCAGGGGCTTAATTATCAGAGTACTTTACTCCAGCGGCCACTCTTCTTTTTTCCAAAAACCAGGAGGAAAAGCGCTAATGAGAATCTCTCCTGGGAGTGGTTCGAGTCCCATATGGAAGGGAAGAGGCTGAGTGACTTGAGCCAGCGTTGTCAGTCTCGGGGCCGGGTCACTTCCCCAATGACCGCAGGGCCATTCTGGGCCTAACCCGAGGCTGGGGGGACAGTGTGGGGGCTCGGCCCGGCTGCCCCCTGCCCGCACCCTGTGCTCCTCCGGCTGCGCACCCGCTGTTGTCCACAGAACACCCCCTGCAGTGCTTTCTGCGGGGACTTGTGCGTGTTGTTTACGGAGTCTCTGGAGTGGCACGTACACCACACTCACGCTGCCAGGTCACAGGGTGGGGGGCAGGCCCTGCCTGGAGGCAAAGCAGGGACCCCAGACTGCACCAAGAGTCGTTCCTGCAGTGTGAGACCCTGTGGCCGTTTGTCCCTTGGCTGGAAGGACCAGAAGAATCCAGGACTGTTGGCTCTGGGCAGCCATCAGCCCACCCTGCTGCGGGGGGGTATCCACGTTTTCCTGTGCCGGCTTTCAAGGCCGACGCTCCCTCCCGGCTCCCAGGGCTCCTTCTGGGATGCCCAGGCTTGGTCCCCTCCCACCCCACTCCATGCTTCGGGGCCACCCCCAATGCCCTGGGGCAGAGAGTTGACCTTTAGAGAAACATCCCCTTCCCCAAGCCTCAGTTTCCCCATTAAAAAAAAAGCAAGTATGATTCATTGTATAGTTGGGGTCAGTGGGCTCCACCTGTATTTACTGAGGCCTCCTCTCCCGGGCGTGTTCTGGATACCCCTCAGCAGACGGTCCCTCCTCTCAAGGAGAATGGCCGTGAACCCCAAACCTAGTCAATACCCACACTCTGCGGTCTGGTGAAGGTGGTGAGTGCAAGGGATGTAGGGAGGCAGCTGGGCCTGGGGGAGGGGACAGATGAGCCAGCACTTGCCGGGACAAGAGCTCCACAGACAGGGACAGACAGTACCAAGACCTCAGGCTCCAGGGCCCCTGGGCTGTGGGGAAAGGGAGAGGCCCCAGCAAACAGACTTCCCTCCTTCCGTCTTCCTGGGCCGACCGAGGGCGTCCAGTATCCCCTACACACTCCTCTCTCCAACCCCTTTTCCTCCCTCTGAGCAAGAAAGAGGAGAGCTTCCTGTCCCACTGCCCACTCGGACCCCAGGAGGCGCCTGTGGGTCAGCAGGGAGCCCCAGTGGCAGCCCCGAGTGTCTGCTGGGGCCGGACTCCCGTCAGGCCTGCACCAGGCTGGGGCTGCCACCCACTGCTCCTCCTGCCCTGCACGTGGCCAAGGCTCCTACCTCACTCAGTCCCCTCCGCCCTGCCGTGCCCACAGGCTGGCCCCAGTGTCTCCTGCACATCTAACTCCACATGGCCTCTGTATGCCCAGGGACTCCACTGATGGGACCTCAGCGTCCACATCTATACGGTGAGGACACTGATTCACACTTCGACTCAGGGTTC